AGGGGGGGAAGGGGGGGGAGAGAGGGAAATGGGGGGGCAATTTTTTTTAATGCAACTAATCGATTATGAAAATAATGGTTAGCTGCAGCCCTAGTATTTAGGTAGACGTTTAATCACTGAAAACGAGTCAAATGACTGTGCCTAGGCTGAGAGTAGGCAGCTGGGAGAATGTGGTCATCAGGAGGCATTTCCTTCATCTCCGAGACTAAAATAATATACTTGCTGCTGTGTCCATTCTAACACTGGAATGTGTGTGATGAGTGTATTCGCACTTCCCGCCATTACTCACCTGGTTCTGGTTCAAGTTGATCTCTATGGCTTGCACTCCAACCACCTCATCAGGAATGGACTGGATTTTATTTTTGGACAGGTCCACCACGTCCAGATGTCGCAGGCCGCAGAGCTGGGTTGGCATAGCACGAAGTTGGTTGCCAGAAAGGTTGAGGGTCTTCAAGGCAGAGAGCTGACCAAAGTCTGCTGGGAGGCTTTTGATCTGGTTAGCACTTAGGTGCAAGGTCTCCAGTTTTTTCAGTTTACACAGTTCATCCGGGAGCTTTCCTGAGAAATAAAATATACCGCACATCAGCCAAACCATCTGACACACTTATTTTTTTATTATGTTAAATTTTGAAGTGGGCATTTTATAATACAGCTCCAAAGAGACCGGTACCGAGAGACCTGACTTTTTTACACAACAAGATACCCGCCTGTCTCTGGATTCAATGTTTCAATTCATTGGCCTGATCATAACATACAGATTAGAAAGCATGCACACAACTCCTGGTCTGCGTACTTGTTCCAGGTCAGAGCCTCGGAGAGTACAGAAGACATCGGTTCACCAGGACAATCTGACAACTAGCATTTACAGGAGGTGGACGTAGCAAATGACAGAAAAGCAGCCAAAAGGAAACTAGTCACCAGTATTGCCCCTGGTCTCCCTACAGCTGATCTTTCACCTTGGCCCCCACAGTGTCCCTGTGTGAAAGCTGCCATCTTGGCTTTGCCTTCTCATGTCAGAGCCACCATCAAGGAGACCAGTACCCAGGGCCGGATTTACTCTCTCTGCTGCCCCAAGACCAGTTTCATCAACGCACCCCCCTACCCGCCAACCCCCCCTCCCCCAATGGAGAATGGCAGACCTGCAGGCTACATACATGTGATCTTGGCGACATCACCGAGATCACTTGTACATAACAAGTGGCGTCTTCCCCGCTGTACATTTAGCTCTGCTTGCCTCGAGCAGGGCTAAATGTAGAAAACAACTAACCGCCGATGCCTGGAACTGCATGCCCTGGGCGTTGAAATTCCACACCCCTGCTGCCCCTCTACTCCCTGTTGCCCCAAGGCTGGGCTTTGGTTGGCCTTGTGGGAAATCCGGCCCTGCCAGTACCAGCATAGTAGGGACATCACCAGATCTCACTCCAAATCCCCTGAGACCAGCAGTGTCTTCGATCTCACACTGCAGATATACAGCTATGAGGCTGCAGACACATTCACATGCCAGGAAGCACATTGCCATTTTGTAGGAGGAATTCGGAAAAAGAGGTATTTTTAGGGTACAGATTGGGCACAATTAAAGCCTATCTCTAGGCAGATTTTTTTAAAGCTTTTGGCAGAGTGGGAAAAAATTAGACCCCAGGTCAAGTTTTTATTGCTGTCTGTGTGACCATTGGGGAGAGGAACCCCTCTGTTTCTACTTGTAACCATTGCCACCGAGAAACAAAGTGAGTGCAAATAGTTTTCTCCTCACCCTCTGTACTGGGGACATCTTCCAATGGGGACGCCTGTCTAAGAGGAACGGTCTCCTAACTTTGGGATATTTCCTAACTTCCTGTCATGTCTCTGGGATTGTGAAGGGAAATTTCCCCAATGAAAAAATAAACAGACACAAGGTTTTAAACATTTCCTACTCTATCCACAACTAAAAGTTTACTAATAGTGTTTTATCAGAGAGCAGAACGACCCCTATTTTCATACATTAGCTTACAGTGACATTAAAGGCAAAAAAATGTTCCCCTCCCCCCAATGTTAATTAAAGCACTTACCTTAAATGATGTATCCTAATCCGATCTTCCTCTTCTTTCCTGATGTTTTCATCTGTCCCTCCAGCAGTGCCGCGGCTCTCCGATCCCGCGCTGACTCCTCTGTCCTTGCTGGCACTTCTGATCCAGCGGTGTCTGCATGCGGGTGCACGCGTCCATAGACTTACCTTGCGTCTCTGCTCGTCTCCCGGCCGAGAATCCGAACTGCGCATGCGCCCGCCCCAAGATGCTTTGAGGCCGCACGAGCAGTATGGGGTTAAGGCTTTTCCCCATAGTTCTCCTTAGGGTAACGGGAGGACACAAACTAGCGTCCTCCAGTCACCCTAGGCTCGGTATACCGCAAGCTGTAGCTCGCGGTATACCGAGACGCCGCAGCTGAAGCGGATCCCGACAATTGTGCCGGGATCCGCCCAGCTGCGTGACTGACAGCTGGCTCTGCCTATCTAGAGGCACAGCCAACTGTACCCGCCCCCTCCCCCGTCCGTTCCGCCAGTCAGCGCTGGCGGATCTGAGCAGGGGGAATCCAGCCCCTCCCCTGTCAGGGCAGAGAGCCGTGACAGGATCGAGAGGTGAGCGAACGCCGGTATGTGTTCGCTCACCTCCCGATCTACTGAGCCGACCTGTGACAGTCTCATTGTCACAGGTCGGCTAGAACTATGAGGTGAGTGAAAAGCACTCGCCTCATAGTTCTCCTTTAAGGACTCATATGAGGATATAACAGTTGCCTCAGTGGCTGTGCAGGACTTCCGATCTGACAAGGAAAACCAATCCTTTCTATAGACCAACTGAGAGGCCAGAAAATATAAATGAAAGTTTGGAAAGGCCAAACCAGCCTTGCACATGGTAAGTTGTGAGGTATCTAGAGCAATTCACGGTTGCCGAGTCCATAGAAAGAAAGTGCAAACAGAGTTAAAGGGTTATTAAAACCTCAGCGGTTTTTGCATTTATCTACTGCTGTCATCCCTAGATACTGGAAATCTGAGTCGGTCCCATCTGCCTTTGAACGCAACAGACTAATGCGTATGGAGGAATTGACGGCCAACCTTTACAACAGGTACCCTCAATTCTCTGCCATTTGGACCCCCTGGATGCTATGTGAGGAAGATCTCTGATTTTTCATCACAATTAAGCATATATCTCTTACCATCGAACTCCCCCTGCTTGTGGATGGGGTTGATACCTGTCCCTTCCGAATGTCTCCATAACATTGCTCTCCCCTGCATTCTAACAGACCTACTCTTTTCCTCTCTCCTTTCCCTATCCTGGCTTTTCTTGCTCATGTCCTATTCTCTTAAATTTTTTCGCTACCTTTTATCCCTTCTTTTTTCATTTCTCTTTCTCTCGTTATTTTCTATTTATTTTCATAATCATTATTAGTACAACTTCTCATACCCTCTTTGTAAAGGATGCTACCATATGCTGGGGTGGTGTGTTTATCACTGTTGTTGTCTCCCATGCCGTAATGTTGATCATCCTGCCCATGTTGTACTCATTTATATCTCAGGGTCATACTACTGTGATATACCTCGGTGTCATTTCCTTCAGCAAACTGTTATATACCTACAGTACTTGACCTGTATGTTTTGGAATGTAAAAATTGTCTAATAAAAATGTAATCTTAAAAAAAAAAAAAAAACGTACCTGTGTCTCCACCGCGCGCTCCCGTCCGAACATCTGAAAATTCTCGGGCGGCTGCAAAGGAGCATGGGGCGGGCGCATGCGCAGTTCAGATCTTTGGCCGGGAGACAAGGAGAGACACAAGGTAAGTAAATGCAGCACAGACACCGTGGCACAGGAAGTGCCAGTTAAGAGAGAGGGGTTAGCGCTGGATCGGGGACCGGCACCAGCGCTGGATGGACTCCTGGAAACTACAGGAAAGAAGAAGATGGATCGGATCACGAGGCATCATTTAAGGTAAGTCCTTACAATAATATTGGGGGAGGGGGGGGGGAGATTAGCCTTTAATGTCACTTTATTACATTTAGAAAATAATGAAGGGATATGAGCCAGTGAGTTTTGTTTAGTAATGCAATCTATAACAGTAAGGCTGCTCTTACCTAGTCTGTTGTTATTCATGGACAAGCTCTTAAGAACAGCAAACTTTCCCACCAATGGAGGTAGAACCTCTATCTTGTTACTGGACAGGTTGATGGTTCGCAGGTTTACAGAAAGCCTCTGCAGATCTTCAGGGAACTTCATGTATTTAATGTGGTTGATGTGTTTCCTGTTGCAGGCAGGCGGAGCCTATATCTCGATGGCTGTCCTGGAAGATGACTGGGGAAAATGATTTAAAACAGAGTGATCACATGCAGAAATAAACCAAACATCATCAATACAAGTGTCTTTAAGTGGAGGCTTATTTACCAAAGTTGTGCAGAGTAGAGAAGCAACCAGAGTTCACACATCATTCCATTAGAGAACTTGTTAGAATGGAAAGGGTTTGCCGAGCTGTTGCTAATAATTCTGGCACTGTGCACATTACTCATTACAGTATTAAAGTGCACAGATTTGCTTTAATCTCCCACCCCTCCCAGACAACTCACTTCACGTGTGGGAGCCGTAGGAAATATCTGCTACTTCTAGTTATAGAAGTATGGGACAGCTAAGCCAAACGGCACTGTCACAAAGGGAAGCCATGGCCTATGTGAGCTAATACTCTGGTGACTCCAAGCTTATGCAGGACTTTCTTTTGCTTCTGGAAGCTCAAGCTTGGCAGAGGAGTGACAGAAAGCCAAGTATATACTGTTGGGTGGAGATACATTAAAGTGAACCTGTTGCTTTGCCCTGCCTGGGAAAAGCATGTGTTCAACTGAAGTTAAAACCTGACTACTATCCCAAAGAGCTAATAAAAGCGGCCAAATACCTACCTGTCGCATGCAGCAGTCTCTGAATGACCCACTGATTCCCTGCTACGGCTCACATTCTGCCACGGATGGGTGTGCAGCAGAGGCATTCACTGTCTGCCTCTACCTGATGAGCGAATCAATAGAGAACGTGCCCTTAGCCACAGTAGGGAGCCTTCAGTAGAAGGAAATCAGCCGGCTAATAGAACATAACTGGCAGCATGGGGACAGGCAAACCTAAGTTTTGTTTTTGACTTTAGGTTAACTTTAAAAAGTGAATGAGTAATGTACACAGTGCAGTAACACACACAAACCAATCATCAATACTCTTACTGACATGTGATTGGTTGATATTGTGCTATTATTAAATGAGCCTGAAAAGCTTTGACATAGCCTGTTACCTCAACTAATCCCTTCTCGGTCAGCTGGAATACACCCGTCTTCTGTGCGGTTTCTATGTGGGCTTTTAATGCACTGTTCCCCATACTGCTCCAAGAGACCAACCTTTACAGCGGTACACAATATCACCGGCTCTCTCTCTATGTAATTACAGGCCCTTGTGTCATAGAGACCTGCAAATAAAAGACAAAAAGGTCATTAAACAAAACCAGGGAATGGATTCTTCTATGGAAGATGTGTATTAAGAAAACCTTGAACACTGCCACTTCTGTGACCTCCTGTGCTCACTCAGCTCTCACCTCCGGTCAGAAAGAACACATTATTAAACTGACAGTGCTCTTTAATCTCAGAGTAGTGACCCTGACCCCACCCCGCCGTTGGATTCTGGTTTACATTACGCTCAACAAACAACTGTATACTTACCAACACAACTGCACAGAATTTTCATGGGTCATTATGGGATTTCTGCTGTAGCTGATTACAAGCTAATGGCTAAGAAGATTGAGCACATCTCAGATCCTATTACTCCTACTCTAAACCAGAGCGCTGAATATTACATTCCATTATTATATGTTACATTTTTTAGGTGTTTCCTGAATCCCATCAGCATTGTGGACAAGAAATTGCTTCCAATTACTTATTCATAAAACCAGGGCAGGCAGCCAGAACGTCATCATTTAAAGTGATTAGGAAAATGTGAATAAACTGGCTGACTGTTGTGCAGAGGAGCTTTAGAATGATGATGATATGAATGATGCATATAACAATGCCTGTAGTAATACACTACTTCTATTATTGATTTATCATGCAGTCCAAACAAATATAACCTACATTATACTATATAAAGCTGGCCACACTCAAAATCCACACTCAAAATCTGAGCCATTGGTGGCCCTGCAAGCACAAAAGATTTATTAACTAACTGAGCTGGGCGGGCTGTGCCACCAGGAGCAAGCCTCCCGACCCACCGCGCCACCAGGAGCGAGCCTCCCGACCCACCGTGCCACCAGGAGCGAGCCTCCCGACCCACCGTGCCACCAGGAGCGAGCCTCCCGACCCACCGTGCCACCAGGAGCGAGTCTCCTGACCCACCGTGCCACCAGGAGCAAGTCTCCTGACCCACCGTGCCACCAGGAGCAAGTCTCCTGACCCACCGTGCCACCAGGAGCAAGTCTCCTGACCCACCGTGCCACCAGGAGCAAGTCTCCCCCACCTTCTTTGTCCATTAGAAGTGGGACAATCCAATCTGCTCTCTTGTAATGAACCCTTAGGGAGAATCTCACCAATAATGACATTTCCATTGCAGGGGATGCCCTGAATGTTACTTGTATCCCAGTGCAGACTTGTGAGAAAATCAGTGAGCCAAATCAAACAAGCAGCAAATGACATTTCTGGGGACATGCCATACACCAGCAGCGTACAGAACATCTCCAGTTTACAGTATTGCATTAAATTGAAGAAAATGACAGCGGCCTTACATTGCAATGGAAAGGTCATCTCGGATGTGGCCCAGGCATTTGTGCAATGGCAGAGTGGTGCCAGGCTGTACAAGGAAGATCTCCAGAATGGGGCAGAAGGTAAGTATTTAGGTAGGTGGAAGGGGGCGGGAAAGATTTAAAGGACAACTTCACTTAAAGTAAAAACACAAAGCAATGCAATAACCATGGTCACCTTGTAATGGCACAACTCACCTGTGAAGATGTCAGGTTAGGAGGAGGGTGACCTGTTGCTGTGTCTGTAGAGGAATGGCGTGCTGGAGAGGAGCACTCCTCCAACTCCACTATAGGAGGCCTCGGGCTAGGCCACTGCCTCAATGGTGGCACCGGACCAAGGGAGGTGCCTCCAGGCTTCACAGGTTCGGACCGGGACAAGGGACACCAGGCCAAGGGAGCTGAGGGTGTGTCGGAGTATTCAGCCCGAGCACCCAGCATGCAGCCAGGACTTTACTTAAGAATATACATACATGAGGAGCCAAGCTGTGCCCCTGCTGACCGCAGCCCCCAGTATCCTGCCCCCCTCAGTCCGCCCGCTACACACCAGAAGCACCAACTCCCTACAACTCCGGGCTCAGCTACTTCCGGCAACAACCCCTCCTACAGCCGGCTGTGCCAATCGCAACATGGCGCAGGTACGGAGCGCTGCCAGGGACATTTTCGTTCCTGCTCTGTGATTGGTCCGCTGCCCAGCGAGCGGTCTGTTTGTCTCCTGGGTTCAGGCCAGGTGTAGAAACCACACCGGTGACATCCAATGGCAGCTAATCCGTGGGATCCCGTGCAGGCCCCTGCCGCGTCTTCTCTGATAGAGAGGTGCCTGGGGGCCGGAGTCCTGACACAGGTACAGCCAGGCTTGGGGGAGGGGAGCAGGGTCACTATGACACTTGTGTACACTGAGTATTGAACTTGTTGCTTTTTGTTTTGTAACGTTTATGTTCCACAATCGCTATTGATGTTGTCAGGACTTCAGAGCTGCCCCGTGTTATCCCACAGAGGAGATTCAGGCATTGATACATGAACGATGGATATAAAGGGTTGTCAGTCACTGTGCCAGAGACAGCAAAATACCAAATATTTATTTAGCGGTTCCTAAAAATGCAACTGGGAGTGCTGGATAGGACGGTTGATATCATGGAGTACAGACTGCAAAGTGGGAGGGTTTGAGTCGTTTAGCAAAAGGCTCTAGGCTGGGCTGACACCTCTCAGTCCACAGAATTGGTGCACCTTGTCAGACCACAGCAGGGCTTAGAGGCTGAGTGTATTTCTGGAACATTAACAGGTAGATTTCTGTGCTTGCCTCCACCTTTTAGTACAAACTATGTAGACAGAGGTCACCCCCTGCCATTCCCCATCACCCTGACCATGGAGAGTTAAGGTAGGGATGCACCGATTCTGATACCGGTATCGGTGCTGATACCGAGTATTTGGGCGAGTACTCATACTCGCCCAAGTGCTCCGATACCAGAACTTCCGGTCAGAGGAAGACTTCCTCTGACTGGCAGTGCTGTAGGGGAACAATCAGAAAGCCGGGTGGCAAGTAACTATCAACCTCCTGGCTTCCTGATTGGCTGGGAAGCTGGCTTCCCGGCCAATCGGCATCGAGTCGGCCAAACAGCCGGCTCGATTGACTGGGAAGCCAGCTTTCCAGCCAATCAGCATAGAGCTGCCTTCCTGGCCAATTCGGAGGCGGGTCATTACTCGCCATCCGGCTTCCTGATTGGCCAGGAAGCTGGCTCAATGCTGATTGGCTGGGAAGCCGGTTTCCCAGCCAATCATAATCGAGCCGGCCAAACAACATGGAGCCCGCTTCCAGGGCAATCAGGAAGCCGGGCGGCATGTCATTACTCGCCGCCCGACTTCCTGATTGCCCTGGAAGCTGGCTCCATGCCAGCAAAAGAATCGGTATCAGTACTCAGTGAGTACCGAAAGTAAAATATCTCGTACCATATACCAAAGAAAACGGTATCGGTGCATCCCTAGTTAAAGGAGAACTATGGCGAGAGTGAAATACACTCATCCCCATAATTAAAGCTGATGCATGACACTGAAGCTGTCACGCGGCGACTATAGATCGAGAACTGAGCGATCGCATAACGCTGATCCATGATCTTCTCCCTGCAGAGAGCAATGACTGTCAGTCAGGGATTCACCCTCCCCTGTGTTCCTCCAGCGCTCATTGGCGGGACAGATGGGAGGGGGCGGGCACAGCTGGATCTAGAGAGGCAGAGCCAGCTGTCAATCAGCTAACGGGGTGAATCCTGGCAGTATTATGGGGATCTTTCCTGACCGCAGTGCAGCTCTGTGCTGTCATCATATAGGGGGCAATAGAGTTTTGGGTCACAGGAGGACATTAGAAAATATATACTCCTGTGACTCTCTGCTTGCACTGATCCATGATGTTCAAAGTCCAATAACTATGCTGCTCATCAGTCAGTGTTAGTATGTTCTGTTCCCACAGCCGCGTTCTAATGGTCATCTATGTTGCATTAATATCACATCATATTTTATAAACTCACATTCCAGAACATGCTGGACGAAGCACGGGAAGAGACTTCATTCTTTAGCCGTGTAGACAATCTGGAGAAGATCTCTGCGCTGAAGGCTGAAATCAGAGAGGTGAGTTATTGTTTCTCATTTATCCGGGCTCTCCTGCTAATGATGCCGAATCATTCAAGTGTATCCAAACCCAAACAATAGAAATGTCATATAATGCAGCTTATCAGTTCTTAGATTTGGTGGCTGCATTAGTTTTCTCTTTTCAGGCATTGTTTCCTTTATTTCCACCTGGTGATCCTGCCAGTCACATACTTCCTGTCCTAGAGTGACAACACCCGCTCACTATACTGTGTCGTCTGAGGGGCAGGAAGTGTTTTAGGAGCACTGCACATCTCCCCTCTCATCTTCTCCACAACGCGTAGGTTATTTGTAGACCACAGAACTGAGAAACATTGTAACTGATAACAGTCAGCAGAGAGCACAAGAGGTTATTAGCTCACACGGAGATCTCCCTCTGACCGGCAGTGCCGATGGAGCCAGCTTCTTTTCCAATCAGGAAGCCGGGTGGTGGGTTATTACCCGCCTCCCAACTTCCTGATTGGCTAGGAAGCCGGCTTCATGTGTTGCTAAGCAGCCTGGCTTCCTAACCAATCAGTGACCTGGGTGGCAGGTCTTGACTCGCATCCCGGCTTCCTGATTGGTGAGGAAGCCATGCTACCTAGAAACAAATGAAGCCGGCTTCCCAGCCAATCAGGAGGCTGGGAGGCGGGTCATGACGTGCCAGCCTGCTTCCTGATTGGCTAGGAAGCCGGCTTCACTTGTTGCTAGGCAGCCTGGCTTCCTGACTAATCAGGAAGCCGGCGGCATCTCATGACTCGCTGCCCGGCTTCCTGATTGGTCAGGCAGCCTCGGCAAGTGAAGCTGGTGTTCTTTTGCTAGAGGAAGCAGGGCGGCGGGTCATTATCGGCCACCCGATCTCCTGATAATCGGTGCAGCGGTACTTGGTATCGGCGAAATTAGAAAAAAACCTATTGGTACTCGATCCCGAAAAACAATATCGCTGCATCCCTAATATTTATATACATGTTTGGCTTTATTTTGTGTATAAAGATATCATTTATCAATGATTCTGATCTGCCTTACAGAAGAGTCTGGAGCTAGAATTGCTGAAGCTTGAGAAAGAGACTGCAGACATCACTCATCCATTTTTCCTCAGTAAGTTGTCAGGTTGCTGTGATATCTTTTATTGTATTTGTTGTCACCAGACACCTGCAAATCAAAAATGTCTCCTCCTTGGCTGTGGGCAGTTCAATTTGCAACAGATTTGGCCACAAATGACCAAGTTACTTATATTAAAGTTACACGTGGTGACCAACCACCCAGGGAGTTGTGGGAATGTCGGCATTGAGTTGCACAAATACACCAATACATCCCTACTGGATGTACAACTGCATCCTTTATCTTGGGATACCTCCTAGGTGTAGAAGTGACGTCTGACATATGGCGCCCTTACATATAAACTGTATGAGGGGAATTTATCAAAACTGGAGCAGACAAAATATGGAGCAGCTGTGCATGGCAACCAATCAGCTTCTCTGTTTTATTTTCAAATCTTAACTGAACAAACTGAAGATGGAAGCTGATTGGTTGCCATGCACAGCTGCTCCAGATTCTGTCTGCTCCAGTTTTGATAAATCCCCCTCTATGTATGTGCCTGCACAAAAATATAACAAAAGAGAATTAGTGGTATTGGCCTGAGGAAACATATGCTATGGTCAAAAATCCCTAATTGGCTCAAGATCAGGCCCCTCTCTCTTCCTATCATTTCCTCCAGGTTTTATAATAAAGCATTTTATTATAACTCCGACATCCAGAGGTTGAGCCTGATGGATCTGTGTCTTTTTTTTTTTCTTTCAACCATCAAAAAAAGAACTGGGAGTGCTAGATAGCGTGATATCATGGAACACAGAATTAATACTGTTTAGGCTGCTCAGGGTGGGATAGGGAAAGGGTTTGAGTAGTTTAGCAAAAGGTACTAGGCAGAGCTGACACCTCTCAGTCCACAGAAATGCTGCGCGTTGTCAGTCCACAACAGGGCTTAGGAGCTGAGTACATTTCTGGAACATCATCAGGTAGATTTCCTGTACTTGATGGACCTGTGTCTTTTTCTTCTACCTTATCTACTATTCAGAGTGTGTTGCTGGATATTTTCCTCTGACTCTTTGATGTGTAATAAGCGCTTGTATTTACTCCCTTGTCATTGTACATTCTAGGCCAGAAATGTGAGGCCCTACAAACAATAAACAGCCATTTGGAGGTGGTCCTGAGAGAGAAGCGAAGCCTGAGGCAAAGGCTGGCTAAGCCACTGTGCCAGGAAAGCTTGCCTATTGAAGCAGCGTATCACAGGTAATCGACTGCCAGCATTATAATGAACAAACACTCTGCACGCCTCCTCCCTCCCGTCTCTGCCGTTCCCCCGGTGTTTTATTCTACCAAAATAACAAAACCTTATATTCTATGTGCTATGTGAAATGGTTACTGATGGCATTTACCTCTGCAAGTATAAAGTATTCACCCCTCCCAGATATGGAGATATTTATGTACCTTAGATGTCCAGCCATCTGCTCTGAGATCTGCCACTGGAGGCAAAAAGAGGCAACAAAATGACAGTTTGTAACGGTCTTCTATGAGATTAGCGGGCTGGAGTTCAGCTTGTGTTCAATGTTTAACCGCTTGCTGACCACGGTGTTTAGACCCCCTTCATGGCCAGGCCATTTTTCAGTGTTCAGCGCTGCGGTACTTTGACTGACATTTATTCCGTCATGCAACGCTGTACTGAAATTAGTTTTATACCATTTTTTGGGGACAGATAGAGCTTTCTTTTGGGGGTATTTAATCACCACTGGGGTTTTAATTTTTTACTATATAATGAAAAAAGTACAGAAAATTTTTTTTGGGGGGGGAGCTTCCCTACGGTATGTTAAAAAACATGTACTCTTAACCAAATTATTGGTAAAATATAAAAGACGGGGTCGCGTCTTGTAAATAGACACCAAACATGTGAAGCTTTGCAATTGCGTGGCGCCCGCAAAATAACACAAAAAACTACCATACCCAAAATTGGCCATAGGCGACGCTTTAAAAGCTTTTACAGCTCATCAGTTTAGTGTTATCAGTGAATGATGGGCCTAGAATTATTGCTCTCGCTCTGGCATTCGCAGTGACATGTAACGTGCGGCACAATTGTTATTTTCACACGTAGGAGCACCCAACAGATGTTTGTGTGTGCAAGGGACCCCCAGAGAAGCTGATGAAGAGAGATCATAGGGAGAATGTGTGATGATGTCCCTCTGATCTCTGGTGACAGAGCTGCCGAGCCACGGGGCACAGCGGTGCTCGGGATTGGCAGATGGGGGGGTGTCGCGCCCATCCACATGCATGATACAAGCGATCCAGCGGCTCTACAGCTGCATGTGAACAGCCATCGCTGGCTGTTTACAATTTAAGCAGTTTTCCCGCTGGATGGCGCACACGAGCGGGACGGGCGAGGATTTCTAAAAACGCCCACTCACATTCAAGAAGCTCCCGGTGGGCCGTTTAATTACAACGGCTTGCCTGGAAGTGGTTAAAGCTGAACTCCAGCCTTACTGTCAGTCTTGCACATTTGCCCAAGCATGCATTAGAAGCATTTCCTGGTTGGAGGACATCCAGCATCATCTATCTCATTCTTCCCCATCCTGATTGTCTCTGGCCCACCCTTTTCATTCATTTAATTTCAGTTCCTTCAGATATGCAGGTTTAGCATCACAGGCACTATCTAGGGCTAGCAGCCTAGGAACACCCACTACTACACGGTTTTGACGTCTCAGTGACAGATCACTAGATCTGCAGAAAATCATTTTTGCCCAATGCCCCTGACATGCCTCATTTTATGACAGTGTAGTAAAATGTTTTTGGGAGCCATTTATCATGAACGGTTTCACTATATGCTGTTCCTTTCTAGGTTTGCTGCTGAACTTTTACCCCTCGCTGTTAAATTCATTGAGAATTTAGAATTCTTTATCCAGACTATCCGGAAAATTCCTCAGATACCAGACTGTGCTAAGAATCTGGTGAGTGCGGCTTTGTTTTGTCTTGATAGAACAGCATTCTAAACCAGAGTGTGGCCATGGACTTCTCTGATGCTGCTTCTGAGTGATTTTTGGAATTCCCCACTTTGGAGTCGCTTATTTCTCTGTATGTGTGCAGCTAGTGTGGGGGCAACAAACCTGAGCTGAACTTCTTAAAGAAGAACTTCGGGTTCAACTTTTTTCTTTTTCATTACCCCTTGCAGTGGGGCATCCCCCGCAGTGCAAAGGTTAACTGCTTGTTTTTGCCTAGGGTCAAAAGAAAGTTATACTCGCCCTATCCTATCCGCCAGTAGCGCTCCCTTTAGCCTGTCTCCTCCTCCTCCTTTGCAGCGATGTTATGTGCCTTGCGTCCTCGCGTTTGAGTGTTATTTTTTGTTTGTTTTTTGACTCTAGGCAAAAACCAGCAGTTAACCCTTGCAGTGGGAGGATAGCCCCACTGCAAGGGTTAATAACATTTGTGCCCGGAGTCCTTCTTTAAAGTAAACCTTAATTTTGCCCATGCAGGTAAAGCAACAGGTTCACTTTGCCACACCATTTGGCCACCGGGAGCAAACAGAGATACCTAGTACTTCCAGGTATGGCTTTTTATGTGACTTACACCCCTTCCTCCTAAGTGCGGGTGCTTGCTGATGGGCCCAGCGCTGGCACACTGGGGTGAGGAGAGCATCCTCAGCCCTTTGTAAGCTCCAAGTGAAGAAGCTGCGCTTACGCAGGACTTCCTCGCTTCACCCTTGGTAGCTGAACTGAGCTTCAGGGGAGCAAAGAGAAGGTTTGTACATTCTCCTGGGGAGAAAGTTAAGACAAATTGTTGGTTTTCCCCACATTAGTAAAGCACAGAGTCATTTGAAAGTCCCTCTGCTGAGGGTTTGAAAGATATATATTCTTTTTCATTAGGTTCAGAACCATATTGTTAAGGTATCATTATCTTTTTAAATAACAGAATACCCCACCGCACCCAAGGTAGGGCCCTGGTATGCCTGACATATTGTATGAGCTGATACCTTTAGTAAGATGACTGGTGTGCAGACCCTTCCTGTTCTGATAGCAGCTTACATTTTATGTAGGGATCTAGAATTTTTCCAAATTCTCCTCCTATACCAGCAAAATCAGGCTGGCGTTGTAAGGGCCAAAAAGCACTGTGCCCTCCTTCCCATTAAAACACCAATGTGGTTTCCAGCTGTGAATTCAAATGAATCTCATAGACATTCACTGTATGTGCTGGAGCAGGGTGTTCTGGGAGATTCCCATGCTTCAACTGGGTAACTAATTAATCAATTGGAATCAGTGGCGTAACAATCACCATAGCGACCCAGGCTGCCGCTATGGGGCACAGGGGGGCCAGGCCAGGACATCCCCCTGATGCCGGGCGGGCCGCCTGGTTCGCTATGGCATTTTAGGCTGCTGGCTGTCACTGGCGGCTGTGAGGAGAAACACGCAGCCATTCACATGTGCAGCGGCGCGTGTCTCCTCACAGCTGCTGAGTCGATGACAACCAGAAGCTTCGGGGGAGGAGACGGAGCCCATCGTCGGCAGCGATGGAGGAGACGGGGCCCAGCGATCGAGGAGGCAGGTCTTAGCGATGGGGAGGCGGGCCCAGTGAAGGAGGAGGTGGGGCCCACAAGCGATCGTGGTGGAGAAGGAAGCGGACTGTTACGTACCGTGGTGCGGGCCCGAAGTGATAAGGAGGACCTCGCGGTTCCGTCTGTGGACCCCTGAGGTGCAACAGGGGGCCACAGGCAAGAGCAGCACGGGTGCTTGTATGGAATCCGGGGTGGCAGCTAAGCGTGGTGACACTAGAGGGTATCAAGAATGGTTAGGAGGAAGCCGGTTCAAAAGCCAGAGAGGTAAACAGTAGCCAAGCAGAATCCAGAGAGTGGTCAGAAACAAGCCAGGGTCAGAAGCCAGAGAGCTGAAGTAATAGCCAAATCAGAATCCAGAGAATTGTCAGAAACAAGCCAGGGTCAGAAGCCAGAGAGCTGAAGTAATAGCCAAATCAGAATCCAGAGAATGGTCAGAAACAAGCCAGGGTCAGAAGCCAGAGAGCTGTACTAAGAGCATAAAACAGGATCCAGAGAATGGTCAGGAATAAGCCAGGGGTCAAATACATTAAGCAGCAGCAGGAACAGAGCAAACCTGATAGGACCCAGGCTGAAGAGCACTCAGCAATGACTGAGAGTGCTGAGTCTCCTTTTATAGCCCTAGTGACATCACCGGGCGGCGTCAGGACGCACAGGGGCGTGTCCCCTGGGCCCGTTGCGTCATAGGTGGGCGTGCCCCGCCGGGCCGCCTCGTCACTGGTGGGCGTGCCCCGCCGGGCCGCCTTGTCACTGGTGGGCATGCCCCGCCGGGCCGCCTCGTCACTGGTTGCCGCGTCCCTGCATTAGACGGGCGGGATGAGACCGGACTGCGGCCTGAGACCCGACACGGAGAGAGGATCGGCCAGACAGGTAAGAGGGCTTGACCGCCCATCTGAGACCCTGCAGAGCCCACCATAGAGAGTCTATGGTGGGCTCTGCAGGGTCACCCTTTAGGTGGGCTGTTTGGGTTATCAGGTGGACTTATCTAGAAATCACAGGGCCCCATACAAAAGTTTGCTATGGGGCCCTGTGATTTCTAGTTACACCCCTGATTGGAATGTAAAAAAAAAAAATGGGGTATGACACAAGAGTCTGATGTTGTGGTAATGAGTCCCTTTCATTTATAACACTGTGCTGAATCTAATGAGCACTTATTGTCATTTATGTATCAGTGGACTGCAGTTTGCCAGTCTTTGGTTATTCCATCCTTTACCGAAAATATATATACATGTAACATTTTTATGAAAGAAAACTATAACTGACTAAAGTAGTCATTACACACATTTCCTCCCCGGGGGTTTTTAATAGACCTGTTACCTTTTATGCTTGAAGGAACTCGGATGTATAGTGATGTGTCCACCTTCTTTTCAGGACATGGCTTTGGTGAGAATGGAATTTCTCGAGGCCGATTTAGAGGAACTGACCAAGCAGATCCTAACATGGAGAGAAAAACAAAATAACCTTCTTCAGTGCAACTTCCCTGTCAATGCACAAGCAAGCACCAGCAGTATGAAAGAATCTTCGTCTTATTTATCAGTTGAAAATCTGCACCACTAATAGTCCAGGTTTATAGTATGTATGCCGTGTGTTACGCATGCAGACTTATTTAAAGTCTTAATCTTTTTTTCTGGTGGGAAAAGTTTGGAATTTCTGTGATTCCCCATCAATGAGATGACACCAGGACAGGAAATAAAGACAATAGGGTCACTGAGGCAAGCAGACACAGACAGCCATAGACGTATACAGATGTTGCAATCTTTCCCTGTTCCACCCATATTCGCACAGTGGGTGTTGCTGTTGTCACCCTTTGGCCGGCATCCCTTGATTTGCCAGTCAGAAAATCTCAGAACAAACCAATGAGCTGCTGGCTCTGTTCAGGTATTCTGACATTGGCCTTCGGCCACTGTCGGAATACAACGCGGAGAGGATTCTTGACTCAATCTTTGTATAGCGATGATGGATAAATCTTTTCTATTTACTATAGAACAGTGTATGGCCAGCTTAAGGCAAACATTTCCCCTAAGGAGGCAGATGGGCAAGGGTTCTAACCCTTACGGGGTTGGTATTTAATACAGTAATAATAGTGTGTAAAGTACAGTAAGCTATAAACATCCAGTTAGATTTCAGAATGTGTTTGATTAGTGAAATCTACATTTTGATTGGTTACCACAAATTGCTGAAGTTTGCACATCACTCTTTGCCTTATTAAATAACATGGATAGTGGCCTACGTTCCAGCTATGTTATTAATACATTTGTAGAACCCATCAATTCTTAACCTGGGAAGTTAATAGACTTCCTGTTTTTTGTATTTTTGTATATAAATGTTTAAAAATAAATGTTGAAACTTTGCTAATAACTCGGAGACTCTTTTCTGGTTCAGTATTTTATTTGTTTTTGTGTGAAGGGGAAAGTACAAAACACATCAGATTATAAAAACAAGAATATATGACAATACTGCGTTGTAGTTATCTGGGAAATGACGCAGAGTCTAGACATCTATTTCATTCATTTATTATGACCTTTTGACTCTTTTTTTTTTTCCAACTGAAGAGGCCAGTTCAGTGGCTCTGAATAGTTTTAAAGGAAAACTATGAGGCGAGTGAAAATCACTCAGCTTCATAGTTCTAGCCGACCTGTGACAATGAAACTGTCACAGGTCGGCTCAATAGATCAGGAAGTGAGCGAACACATACCCTTCGCTCGCTCACTTCTCGATCCTGTCCCCGCAAAGAGCCATGACTGTCACTCACGGCTCTCTGCAGGGATTCCCCCCCGTCAGTTCCTCCAGCGCTGACTGGCGGAACAGACGGGGGAGGGGCGGTTACAGCTGGCTCTGCCTCTAGATAGGCAGAGCGAGCTCTCATTCACGCAGCTGGGTGGATCTCGACAGTAATGTCGGGATCCGTCCCGGCTGCGGCGTCTCAGTATACCGCGAGCTGTGGCTCGCGGCATACTGAGCTTTGGGTGACGGGAGGACGCTAGTTTGTGTCCTCCCGTTACCCTAAGGAGAACTATGGGGAAAAAGCCCTGACCCCATAGTACTTTAAATCTGTGTCTCACAGTTCATGCTCGCATACAAAATTTATCGCTTGGGATCCACAACTCTTTGGCCTTACTCCCTGGATTTGCTAGGACAGTCTTTAATTTCTGTTGTGAGCTGGATTTAGGCTTCTGGACCAGAGGCCAGGCTGTCCGGTACCTTATTTGTAAAAAATAATTTTGTGAAGCACTGGTGGCTCTAGAAGAGTTAGACTATCTGTTGTCATATACTGGGGCCAGAGGGCATGTAACCTCGGTTCGATTTAAGTCCTTACTGAATTATGAGACAAGGTCCCATCCTATAGGAAGGCTGGGGTTATTTCTCTGATCCAGTCTCCTTGCCCTCTGCTCCTAGTGCAGCCTGGTTCAGTTACATCAGAGGATTGCTCCCAGTTCATGGTGTTAGTGGATTGGTTCACAGTTGTTCATTCATCCTTCCTGGGAATTAAGAAACTCTCCATAGTTTGGTCATTGAGAATATTGGAGCTCCACACCTCTTGCCAGTAAACACTTGGGGCCAGGACAACCTCCACATTCTTAGTTACAGGTTGAATTTGCACTTTGCAGGGAAAGTTTCCCCTTAGTTTAGTAAATTCCACTTTACAAAGAATACCCAATCACATGCAAAAAAATTAAAAAAGATGAAAACTGTATTTTTTTTTCTTGCATTTGATTGGATGATGGAAGTTAGCAGAGCTTCATCTCATTTACTAAGCTAAAGGGAAAAAGCCCTTGCAAAGTGAACAGCCTATTTGTCTACAGAAAATCAGCCCCAATACTTCCTATTCATTTGTATAAGCCAAGTGGACCAGTATTTTTGGCATCATCAGTTTAATAATTACTGCCCATGTAGCAGTAAATCTCAAAGGGTACAATGCAAATCACTGAGAAACATATTCAGTCCAATAGAATGATAAATAAAAATGCATATTGGATATCCTTTACTTATATAACCACTTTTGGATAATTTAACTCCTCTGCTGCAATGCCTGCTTGTGCTGAGAACTACTGAACAATTATGCCTACTTCTACAGCTATCTGCAGGAGGTGGCTGTTGTAAAGTGACCCTGTCACCACAAGGTCCAAAAGTGCTTTAATCGTTCATAAAATGGTCATACAAGAGCCAACACGTTTTGGAGGCAGACATACAGCCTCCCCCCTTCATCAGGGCTTAATGATATTTAATAAATGTTTGAATGGACTCAGGGAAGCAGATGCCGGAAATCCTAATCTTACTGCTTGTAAGAGGATCAGATGGGGAAGAATTTTGCCAATAAAACAGCAACAACATGTTTTGAAGTAACAAACGCAAACATCACCAGCACTCCAACACAAAGATTCACATCAGTGCAAATCCATTTTATTGATAGATGTCAAAAGACAAGCGCTTCTGGGCCACGCAGGGTCCTCTTCATCAGGCTCAATAATGACTATACTATTGTCATTATTGAGCCTAATGAAGGGGACCCTGCGTGGCCCCGAAAGCGCTCATCTTTTGACCTCTATCAAAAAAATGGATTTGCACTGATGTGAATCTTCGTATTGGAGTGCTGGTGATGTTTGCGTTTGTTACTGGATTTTGAGCAGCGCCATCCGCAGTCATTACAACCACCCGTTATCTTTGGACTATCCAGTAATGAGTGCGGCAAAGCACATGGATTAATTATTGTACATGTTTTGAGTACCCTTTGATGTACCCATTGAAGGGGATCCCTGTTATTTATTTATTTCAGGTATTTAAATAGCGCCGACAATTTACGCAGCACTTTACATAGTTGCACATTCACATCAGTCCCTCCTCAAGGAGCTTACAATCTAAGGTCCCTATCTCACATGCATACATAGAGGACCAACTTAGATAGGAGCCAATTAACCTACCAGCATGTCTTTGGAGTGTGGGAGGAAACGGAGTACTCGGAGGAAACCCACGCAAGCACAGGGAGAGCATGCAAAATCCTCGCAGACAGTGTCCTGGCCGGGATTCGAAGCGTGATGCTTATAGATTTCTGCGCCCTTTTTGCAACAATCCACATTGCAGAATGGAGATCCCTAAAACTCAACTGCAGACAGGAAGCTAAAGGAGTTAAACCTGTAGTAAGTGTCCTCCTGTGACCCAAAATAGAACTATAGCCAAAAAAGGTTTGGCCATAGTTCTCTTTTAATGTCAGAGCAAGAATCTCGCACCTTTGTTTATGTGCAGCTTTGGGATGAGGAACGCCCTGGCCTGCAGCTATGGGAGTGGGTGGTGCATGGCACTTTTTTGGACTGGATTTTGTTCAAACCTGAGCTCATCCCTAATGTGGAATCTATTTAGCTGATTTCAGTTGAGGGTTACATGGGGCTTTATCTCCCTGATGATTTCTGAAGACACGAAGGCTACATATGTCTGTTTCATTGTCACAGTGCTGATGTGTCTGTCACTCCTCTTCAGGGGTTCAGAGAGCAGTAGATTCATTCTGTCCTCAGCTTGGACCAAAGCATTCTTGTGTCATATCTGTCCTGCTGCAGCACTGGATGCTTCAGATACAATCGGTTGTGAACTCACACTTGGATGAGATACTGATCTTGAATCATTTTCCATTAGTGCCTAAAAATAAGGTTATTTTTTAGAAACAAGACAGAACACTGTCCAATAATAACATTCAGCTGAAAAGAAAACAAAAAGCAGTTCTAATTTATAAAAAAAATAATACAATTATCTTATCGTAAATGCAAAATAGCCTGTAGATTCTATTTACATATTAAGTGATATTAAAGTCAAAAAAGTTTTTTAGCTATTCTAAATGCTGATTAAATCACTTACAATGGGTGCTGCTTGTTGATGTACAAAGGTTTTAATGTCCTGCAGAATCAGCTGGTCCCCTGAGCACTGATCCTGATATCCTGTTGTAGGGTGGCTCCTTTCCCTTGGAGGGTCATATGGAGCCACCCTATGTGTGTGCTAGTAAGCTGTGTGTGTGCGTCTCCACAAACACACAGGCACAGCAAGGGAAATCACTGCCCTCTTTCCTTCTCCAAGCTAGTAGATGAACAGCTCCTGAAAAATGCTCTGCCTTGTGATCTTGTACTGGGCAGGAAGTAAAGGTAAGCTGAGCAGAGAGAGTTGGAGCTGTTTGGAAACATGATGACTTTAGACCAAAATGGAAAGAAATACTTTGCTTGGCAAAGATTGTTTGATCTAAATTCATTATGGAAAAAAAGTTTAATAGTATTTTAGTTATAAACAATTGCAGGTAACATGCAATCAATGAGCAGCTGCTAATGCTGTCCAGATGTTTAAAGTAAAGGTGGCCATACACTCTACAACCATCGCAAGACCTTAGTCTTGCGATGGTTGTAGAGTGTATGGCCACCATTAGACAGCCCATTAAGTAAGTGAATTACATTTTGCTAAAGCACAGTGTGTCATAAACAATTGTGATTTTTTTAAATAAGAAAAACTATTTTTTTATCTTTTTTTCCATTCTTGTTGACAGTTCGCGACTTCTGATCTATTGCAGCCTCTTTGCAACTGCTTCCTGTCTACATGCATGCACTCCAGTGGAGCCAGCTTACTGATGGTGACAACTATGGAAAATGTTTGTGGAATAAGCATTGGCAAGGCTGCTTGAACTCTCCATCAGGATTGTGTGTAACAGCGTGACAAGGCAGGACAGGAATTGGGAGACGGAGACAGAGAGTTATCACCTATAAGAGTTATAATAGGAAGCGTCTGAACAAGAGCCTCCATGGTAGGTTTTATAGATATTATTTCAATGAAAGCTTGAGATAGTCAAAGACTGAACATCATTTAGAAATTAGCATGTGAAGGCTTGTATTCAATTTTAGTGCTTCAGTTTCGATCTATTTCAGTCGCAGTTTTAGATATTTTCAGATGTTCAGAGTTAACAGGTTTTTCACAGAGTTCCTGAGCGGGGCCACATCCTGTTATTATAATATACTGCAATGTGCAACCTCCCTCTCCTCTTCTGGTATGCGTAAGGGTGCCCATACACCTTCCAATCATCGGCCAAAAATGTTAATTCGATGATCGCACCCTCATCTGATTTTCGTACGACGGCCCCATCCTGCCCCGATTATCGCAAGGTTGGATCAGCGGTAATTAGAAGAAAGCACCTGGACGAATTGCGGTAATGGACCGCACGTATTTTCATCTGCGCATGTGCAGTGTAGATTGGACGAATTTTGACATACGGAAACGCCACCAACCTTGCGAAAATTGTACGATCGACTGAAGTTTTCTAACCTGCTGGTTAGTCAAAAGTCGATCGATTGTACAGTATTTGCGGTTGTACACTGCCCATCAACCGTACAAATATCGGACAAAAACACGATCGCATACGGCCGATATTCGTAAGGTGTATGGGCACCTTTAGTCAAAGCTGCACCAGGCTCAAAGTAGGGAAGGCCCTGGTCTTCATTTAATGAAACAGACTCGGTCACTTTGCTCTTTTTAAAAAAAATATTTGTCTGTTCTGCTGCTTATTGGTTATTGGCACGCTGGTTATTGCTCCCTTGAAGAATTAATGTTTGCTGCATCCCACACTTCTCTGAGTTTCGGAAGCCTGGGCTCCCACTGTGCCCTGTGCTTCCATTTGCCAACCCTTAGGTGTCACAGTAGTGTTGTAGGAGCTGGTGGAGGGAACCACAGAGTGCAGAGGGGGATCAGGCACCCAGCACCCCTGGAAGTGGGTAGGATGCTGAGGTTTCTTCAGCAAGCTTAGCTTTTCAAGGGTGCAAGCTTAGCTTTTCAGTGGTATGAAGGGGCCCCTTCATACCACTGCACCTTAACATGCGGTATGCTGTTCTTTGTGATTTGGCTGCCAGAGTACCACAATGCACCTAAAACCAGACACATACCATTTTTTTTTGTAATGCATTATATCACAATGCAAAGACCGGTGCTATCTGTACATGGTGGTGCACACATATGTTTGGGTACATTTGGCAAGGTGTGTTGCTCAAAAGCGTGGTAAAACATGTGTTAGGTGTAAATCTGACCCTAATTCTGTTCTTTACAGGCAGGGTTTTTTTCTTAAAGTGACAGAACCCCTTTAAAATGTAAACTGCAATGCAACAATAATCAGATACGGATGTTACCTGACATGGTATGTCAATACGCTTGACATACCATGTGTTAACACAAGGCACCAGAACATTGTTAACAGAAGATTAGCAGTATTATTCACAAAAGGGTGAAGAGTTTGAAGAAGGCAGGAGAAGTGAACAATCTAGGACAACATAACTGGACTGGAAAGTGAGCTGAATTGGAGAATTTTTCCAGTCCAGTTATGTTGTCCTAGATTGTTCACTTCTCCTGCCTTCTTCAAACTCTTCACCCTTTTGTGAATAATACTGCTAATCTTCTGTTAACAATGTTCTGGTGCCTTGTGTTAACACATGGTATGTCAAGCGTTAATGTGTTAAGGCAGACCATTTATTTGGGTTGCCAACACACAAAAATGGCTGAAAAAACTTGCACCATTTATACAATACGAGGCATTGCACAGCAGGGATCTTACATTTTTGGAAAACTGCAAGGACAAAAAGAAGAACAAGAGGTCCCCTTGCAGTGCAAGGAAGCATTCTGTATCCCCTCTAGCTATCCCCCCTGTGGCCTAATCTTGATGCATCAGTTGCAACTGTCAGGCCTGTAAGGGACACCTTTAGTACGCTGAGAAATTCTAAGCGAGAGTAGGCTAGGAGCTTTCCCTTAATTGAAAGGGCAGGGATGCAGGAAATGGTGGCTCATCTGGGTTACTACATGGAATGTTATGAAGGAGAACAAAATATCTTTTTAAAGTGGAGAAACTCTGTATACATGCTTTACACATGGTCTAAGGTTCAGCAATATCTATGAATCTGGATTCTGTTTTTGGGAATATCAGAAACCCAGTGTATTCAGATCAGATCAGGTGTTTCAGAAGACAGTACCTGAAAAAGCCTTGTCAACAAGATTGCAGAAAAACAAAGGTTCCTGTATTCTGTTTCTCCAGTTGGGAGTCTTCCGTAACAGCAGCTCCATTTTTTGATGTCCTGCCTCCAAATCCTCATTCAGCTTCAGAATCTTTGGAAATAACACTTCTTTCTGACACATCTTAGACATCTGTGAGAACAAAGAACAAATAACCAATTGTTAATGGTGAACTCTAATGGACCTGGTGCTATACCATGCAGATTATACCTTTTGAATGTTGATTTACGTTGCTATCAGAGATAGGATCAGTTTAGTAGAAACACACAAAGACATGAGATTGTGAGAAGATAAAACACTGAAGTTACGGTCTGGTTGATTGGACAATTACTCCTTTATCCCTGTTCTGGTGGCAGCTCAAAGTTTTGAATTCTATCATCACTTCCAGTGAGCCATTAAGGTCCAAAACACCTAAAAGTCTGTCCAGTGGGAGGTGGGGGGTCAGGGGACTTGCTAAATAGTAAAGCCAGGATCAGTATGACAAAAAAAGTCGGTAATGGCAGCTTCTATATGACTAGCCTCATACATTCAGTTTAACTTTCCTCCTCACTTACTTGCTGCTTGATCATTGAGAGCATCTCTTGGTTCTCAGACTGCTTCATGTTTAAAGCATCCAGAGTCTTTCTCAGCTCCCTAAATAATCAGAGAGATTATTATTTAAATAAAAAGATAAAAGTAGAAACACAAAGAGACAATAATAAATGAAGGAGTCTGCATAACTTTGCCATTAGTAGGAAAGACGTGTGCTTATGACAACTCGCGCTTCCTTGTCCCTGCTCTGACCACCAGCACTGTAGGCTAGTATCTGCATTGCTTTTATGACTACCAAACATGGCACATATTAGTAATTAATTGGCAAATAAACTGTAACAGTTGGAAAATTGATCTTAATGGGTGATATGTACTTACTGACAAATAGAAACATTCACATCGCTCAACAAAACACATAGGGGCTCATTTATAAAAGATCAGCCCGGCAAAACGCACACAGTATATGAAATTCCTATACTTGTCAGCTCCATCTAGGGGCACTAGTGCCCGGCAAATGGCATCCGCCCAAACATTCATAAATGAACCCGTCACAGTCTGACAGTATGTAACTAAGTGAATTCTTACAAATCTTTTTACCCCAGTTATTTTAATAGAAGAGAAAAAAAACAATGATATGTGTAAAGTGCAGTTACCCAAAGCATCCCCCCAATCAGCTTTTAGGTTAGTGAAGGTATGTCAATGAAATAGTCTGATTAGAATGGGTTCCTGCACTTGACACAATGTGATTTGGCATTAAATAAAGGCCAAAGTGCACTAAATATCAAGGCCAGATTTCTGTTTCACCAACCTAGACCATGGTCTAGTGTGCCAAGGCTGCTGGTGTTGGGATGTATCCACTCATGCATCATGTTGCTGTTACTAACAGATCCCGGTGTATAATAGACATCTACCCAACTTGCCAGTGCTATTGGCTAGTTCCTTTTGACTTTCTGCATTCATGTTGATGGAATAGTGTATTACTTACAGTTCACCCACTCTTGGTCTGTACCCCTAAAATAGAACTGCTAGTGCAAAGGGGTGATAGCTTACTTTACTCTTCTAGTTGCTGGATTTAGGTGTACTGATGCAGAGTGGGCAAACTGTCCCTTTGAGCCTCTGATTCCAGACTCAGCATGCTATGAATGAATATGATATCTGATAGTCCAATGATTAGGGTAGGTTGTGGGTATCTCATAGACAGTTAGGCAGGGGGAGAGGGGGGGGGGGGTGAGTAGGGCAAGGGAATTCTGTCCCTGCTGAATGCTATAAAACACAAGCCCAACAAAACCATTGTGAAAGTGATGGACTTTAAAACACACTCACCTATTGGCCAGCCCATGGGATTCCAACGTCAGCCTATCTTGTAGAGCATACTGAACTTCAGAGTCACATAGCTGCAACTTAGCAATGCAATTATAGACCTCCATTCTGACCTCTGGCTCCTCCAGCTTCATGGCCCAAAGGAGAAGGCCTTTCACCTGAGCTGTAATATGTCCGATTTGTCCTAGAGCTAAAATTTGAATCAAAGATCAATACAAGGGACCAATCCACTCATGCAATCGTTTTACTGATATGGAATGGAATACATAATACATGCACATATATTCACTAAGCATGACCAGAAAGCACATACAATTTTGTTATATATAAATTTCCGCAGAGATTTAAAAGTGCAAATTAAGGTAGTTATCTACATAATAAAAAAAAATCAGTAACTGTATTTTATATGGAGCCAGTGTAAGAACCTGAATGTCTCTTGATGCCAGCCTCCCTGTAACCAGCACTTACAATGGGAGAGCAAAGGCCAATATTAGGAAGGAGCCAATCAGATTCTGCTGCAGTGCACAAGTGATTGCCCCATATAAACCATGATATACCTATGAAAAGGAAAGCGAGCAGAGGGATCACCTCATCAGTGTGCTGCAGCTCCTCTTTTTTTGACCAAGGTGTACTAAGGGCTAGTGAGCTGGCTATCTGATAAGTTTGCTTGTGTCACAAAACCGCATAATACATTTTTTTTTTAAATACAGCTATTCATTACATTGCATTGCCCATTCTCACAGTTACCTATCCATCTTCTTGTACATTTTCACTCTATGGCTTGCTGGGAAATGCTTTCACAGCAGAATCCCTATTAATTTAATCTCTATTAATGTCAAGCCAATGAGACTAATGGTGGATGGCCTTTCCAATGGGGATTCTATGCAGGTATGGCCTGTCTGCACAGAAATGATCTACAAGGAACAGGGTCAGGTAAGTGCAGGATTTGGGGTAGAATAGGGTTTTGAAAGGATATGTGCAGTAAAAATAAAGTTATGCTTTAAAGCAATGGGCCGCCATTGCTAATGTCCCTCTGAAAATTGATAGCATGTATACTTTCTGAGTCACTGTGCCAGAATTAGTATGCATAGCAGGTAAGCCAGAAGCCTTTATCTGTATACTTATTCTGGGTTAAAGACTCAAATGTCTGAAGCCAGAGCATTAGTGTGACAGCCAGACAACTAGCATTCCCAAGAATGAGAACTCAGCAATGGCTGCTTGTTTATGTTAGATTGGTAGACTAACCAGTTACTAACTTCTGATTGCCTGTGCCTGGATTTTCCACACCGGATCATTCTGAAGGATGTGGTAGAGGTGTTTCATGACCTAAAAGGAGAATATAATATGTTCAAAACAAATTACAATGCTGAATTTTCTATTAAGTCAGACTAATCATTACATAGTTAAAGTTACTAATTGAAGATGATTGATTGATTGATCTGAATAAACACTGACACAAACCTACCAACAAACATGCAAAATAATAGGTTTATTTTTTTATTTAAAGACTGGGTATTTGTAAAAAAATCTACATTCTATTATTATTATGATGATGCTTATTATTATTATTACTACTTCTATATTTGCAATTATAATGTTTCTTAAGAGACAAAAATAGAAAGTGTCGTGCCTAAATCATAACGTTTCTAAGGCATTTTACCTAATAATATTAATATTTGATTCAAAAAGTAATCTGTTCTCAAGTATGGCTTGTACAGCATACACTCCAGATATTTTAGTAGCAAAAACTTAATATTAATGTGTGCTTTGTCCACAAAGGGTAAAGGAACAGGTTAACTTTAAAGGAGACCTTCACAGACACATACCTTTTGCTACCCCACCACCCCACTCAGCTGCTAGAAAGCCCTAGAGTCATAGATTCAACAGGGCTACTTTTGTTTTTAGTTTTGGATAGAGTAAGGGAAGGTTATAACCCCTGTCAGCTTTTTTGGTCCCTGACAGCTTTTTCTGTTTTCCACTTCCATCCTGTCCAATGGCAACAAGAAGAGAGAGGAATCCCTCTAAAGAGAGGGAAATCATTGGTGGTCAGCAGGGTCACCAGCACCAGTGTCATCGGAAGATTTCTCCTCTGTTCGTGTTCTGGTGACCGACCAAAATTTGTGACTTTCTTTCACTTTCAGTGATAATGGTCACCAGGACAAATAGAGAGAATGAATCTCACTAATGGGACAAGGACAGCAATAAAAACCATGCATGTGTTTTACTCCCTCCAGGGGCATCCCGAGGCTGGGTGACACCCGGAGCGGAGACCGGGTGACACCCCGCCGTGACGTCATTGCACATGCGCGATCGTCTTATTGACGCCTGCCGGCACCCATCTTGGTGATGGACGGCGGCAGAGAGAGGAGGGGACGTTCACCCGGCGGGATGAGGTATGCCGCCAGGTCACCCTCCTTTCTCCTAACACTGTCGGGCTCTCGGTCCGTGACAGAGTGCCAGACTTTTCATAGGGGGTGACATCAAAATGACTGTCAGTCATTTTGGTGTCACCCCTTTAATGGTGGCACCCGTTTGCGGGCCACAACCCCCGCACCCCCTTGTGACGCCACTGACTCCCTCTCCACATTACCCGGAAGACTAGAAAAACGAATGACTTTAGTTGCACTTTAAAGTCCATTCACAGTGTGACAGAATCAACAGGTAATAAAACTGCTACAGGTGAGAAAGCATTGATATAATTTTTTATTTTGCTTGTAGTTCTACTTTACGCTGATAAGAGGCCAAATCCTTCATGGGTATACCTGCACATTTATGATCATTTAAAGAAAAAAAAGTCAATTTCTTGCATAAACCGAGTTGTTACTGGTTCTCTTTTAATAAACTGATTTGTCTTTATTTCCCAGCGGCTGTTTTATGACCTTGTGACAGATTCTTACCATCTCATCTTTAATGTGAAGTACACCTGCAGTGCGACAGGCCTGTCTACGAACTGCAGCAAAGTCATTAGTAAAACATTGCAGGAATCCCGAAAACAGCTGGGCTGTCATAATCTGTAGCTGACCAATAAGAGACAGAGCTTCTACCTTTGATTTCCAGCTGTCACCTTCTAAGTGTTTCCTGAAAATAATAAAGTACAAATAATATAGATTTAAAAAAAATAATAATAAAGTGTAACATTGAGAAAAAAAACAATTTCCCAGTTAAACAATATTCTTTGCACGGATCTTAGCATTGTGTATTTTTAACTGCTTCTGTTCTGTAGGTATTGGCAAAGACCAGGGGTAGGCAACTTTGACACTCCAGTCGTTGTGGAACTACAGGTCACAAAAGGTATTGCAAGACTGGGATGGGATTTGTAGTTTCACCACAGCTGCAGTGCCAAGGCCCCCGATATAGACCATACTGGAGCAACTGCTACAAGTGAAAGTAAATGTTAGGGCCTCCCTTCTATAATCACATGTTCAGGCCCAGTGTTGTAATTAGAAACATCCATAACAAGCATCTCAAGATAAAGCACTAAGAACAGTAGCGGAGGTGCCCATTATTCTACCTCAAGTTTTCTGCAGATTTCCCGAAGGCAGTGAACTACTGAGGATTTTTCAAAGCCCTTCCTACAATCATTGTTGCTCTGAATCTAAATGGCTCAATAAATCATAACAATGTCATGTCAGGTTAAATAACATTTTTTAGCACCATTACACTGGCACACATCACATACCCTTTGTAGCAACAATGCTTACATGGCTCTAAACAGTGCCATTCCTACCTTATCTGGTCATGCACCTTCTTTCCCTGACCAAGACTCCCCAGAACCTTGGCAGCTGCCCAACGGACAGCAGGACTCCAGTCATTCCACATCAGATGGTTCAGTTTATTCTTTAAGTCCTACAGACACAACAAACATAATAAACCAATCCCAACACAACCATATAAAAACAAAACAAAATGCTAATACCAAAGCATTGGTGTGTGTGTGTATATATATATATCCTTTGTCCAGAAAAATACAAATACCAACCAACCAGATAATACATCTCATAACTCTGGAGTCAACATCCCCATTGCTATGTTTTGTGGTGATCCAGCCGAGTGGAGGTTGGCCCAAAACTGCACTTAGGTTATAAATAACCTAGGTTTCTTCATTGCTCAAGTCTTCTGGACAACCACAGGAGCTGCCATGCTGGATAACGAGGGAGGGCATTATAGCTGAAAATAATCTTGTTGTGCACTGTGTAAATCAAAGAGTTTATTGCACTCCTAAATGGTTCAGCTGTACAGTAAACATAAATGTACTTACTAAACTGGTTAAACAAGTCAAGAAGCCAAAATCTACAAATAAATAAGCAAGTTCGGGATCTTCTTGCCACTAGGTGGTAAAAATGATCAGTAGTAGAGGAATTGTAAAGTGAGTTGAGAGCAAAGTAATAAGGAATTAAAGAAGAAGAAGAAAAATATGGTAGAGAAAAGGGGAGTCAACCACTGCAAGTGATATAAAGCCAAGGCTAAGCACGAGTTTCCCAATTTTGGCTGTTTGTCTATGGTCAGATAAGTGACTTTATTCTCATTGGATAAGCTGTTAAACTACAACCCTACAGAGCTCAGTGAAATATTTGATTGTCTAGGGTAACGTGTTGAAAGGTTACCTATGCTTTTAACTAATTTAAGCCTGACCGCTGCCACTCGCCTCCCCATGCACCATTGTACATACTTCAGATCAGCGGATTACCTAATACAGTTGTTTTGATCTGTATCAGCCAACTAGGTGTTCTTTTGTATGTCTCTAAATTAGATAGAAAGTATAACAGAGGCTTTGATTTATTTTTGTGGGCAGCACAGTCATTTATTCTTTCACATGCTCTTTTATGACTGAGGCCCAGTATAATTTCTTTAAATCTTCAATTGCTGCTGATTTGTATGCGTTAGTATGTAATATGCTTTCAGGAACGTGCCAGCAGCAGAATAAAACATTTGCATATTCCCTCCCCCAGATTTAGCTGTAGGAAATGTTTAATGCTTCTATTAGGAATGCTTACCTTGCGTATGTCCCCATGAAGATGGGAGAGGGTTCTGCATGCAACAATTCGATCCTTCCAGTTACTTCTGTTAAGTGCTTCTCCCAACAAAGAATGAACCAGAGTCTATCAGATAGGGTATAATAAAGCAGGACTGTTATTAAGTAATAAAAAAACTCATCTTCCACAAGTACAGTGCTGAGAGCACACCTGAACCATGTAACTAAAAACCTACAGTTGAGATTTCCCAAATTCTCTTTTATCCCTAGTTGACATAGTGACCAAAATAATTATGTGACTATTGCTCCAAATTATTGAGTTCAGATGTAGCATTACCTGTGGCCTCCAGCGGAGGATACAGGTAATGCTACATTGTAGATGTTTTAGATAACTGTGCTCTTCCACCCTGTGGCAACAGCTTGGTGAGGGCCCTTTTGTGTTCCAGCATGACTGTGCCCCCATGTATAGAGCCTAGTCCATAAAGACATTGTTTAATGAGTTTGGTGTGAAGGAAATCAAGTGGCATGCACACAGCCCTGAACTCAACCCTACCGAACATCTTTGGGATCATCTAAGCAGACTGTGAGCAACAGGTTCTTATCCAACATCAGTATCTGACCTCACAAAACAAATGGCTGGATGGGCAAGAATTACCACAGACATACTGCAAAATCTTGTGGAATGCCTTCACAGAAGAGTGGGGGCTGTTGCATCTGCAAAGGAGGTTGCGGGGGTGTCAGCACCATATTAATGCCCATGGTTTTGATTAGCGATACATTAAAATCCTGGCTGCCAAAACATTTCGCTCGAAAATGGTACATTGGATCCCTGGTTTCTCTCCTTCTCACTGGGTGCTGCTCTATGTCCCCTCTGACACAGAGCAGCGCCCAGCAAAGTGGAGAGAAACTTTCAGGAGGCCGAGTGGGGCAGAGAGGAGAGTGCTGTCAGCGGCGGTGTCACATGATGCTCTCCTCCCGCCCCTCCCCTCTCGGCCTTCTGTGACAAGGAAATCAGGATGGAGAGTGGTGTGGGGAGGAGACAGGATGCCAAGCCGGCGGTGCAGGGGAGGAGTCAGCTGTCAGCAGTGTCACGGGAGACCAAGCTCTCCTCCCCACACCACCCACTCAGCCTCCTGTGACAGTTGAAGGAGTCAGGATGGAGAGCGGGTTACAAGCACTCAATGATCAGAACTGATCGCTGAGCGCTTGAAAATAATTGAGGATATGCTCTATGTCATTTCCTATCCATTCACGATTGTCGGCAAAGTAACTCATACTATTTCCACAGTTTATGAATGAACAGGAACACTCAGTATAGAGGCTACCTGTTCAATTTATCACAGGTGCTGCTGAAAAAAAATAATTTTCGGTTTTGGTTTCTGCCTGACAATTTTTTTTTAGTTTTCGTTTCCGGTCTGAAAATTCTATTTCGGTGCACCTCTGGCTTTGGTATGAATGTCAAACCAGCTCATATAAGTAGCTGTGATGTCAACTCAGCACTGGCAGTGGAAATAATTACAAAGAGATTACTGAATTTGTTTCTGCCTGTTTTGACTACGTTTTGACTACGTTTTTTATATAGTAGGGAAACTTTAGAGCTCCTGTCATATATTTATTGCTGTCCCTTTTTGGGAGATTTATCTTCCAAATAAAATAATGGAAAATCTCTCTAACAGCTACACAGACAAAAACATGAAACACATTTTTGGAATAGTGAGGAAAGATTAGAATTTATGATAATGTTTTTATGTTGTCCATGGTTTCCTGTCCCGTGAGGTAAGATTTCCCCTCACTTCCTGCCTAGTTGATGGGTATCAAACAGAACAAGAGGAAAACAGAAATCTTCTTCGCAGGAATTTCCTTGTCTAAATTTTGTTTAAAAAAAAAAAAAAATCTAATTTGTTTCTTCTTGGGGCGGGGGGACCTTTCATGGATTCTTGCATCAGGGCCCTGAGGTCACTAGTTATGCCACTGGTTGTAACCCTTTTTCACTCTATATAAAGCTAAAAAAGTTTGTCTGGCATTGGGTTTTAAAGTGAACCTGTGCCCAGACTGTGCACATTGACAAGTATTGACATATTCTTAAGAAGCAGGAAAATCACTTTAAAAATGTGCCCTCATTCACCTCCAAAGCTATAGACATTGTGAAGAAATTAATTGTCAAGTGTCACAACAGAAATATAGAAATCTGAGCTATTTTTATGGAGAGCAGAACCTTGCCACCCTCCCATACCTTTAATATAAACACACAGGAGGTGTTTCTAAGCCGTTAAAAACCAACTGGAAGATAACTTGGGATCTGTGAGAATGAATTACTTCACACTACATGCAGATAGAAAGGTCAGGGATGGCTTGTTTAAAAGCTATTTTACTGCTTATTAATATGTAAATATTTTAATGTCCATAAACTGGGCAAAAGTGCACTTTATGTTTTGGGTAACCAAGCCTGTATTGTACAGCATTAAAAAAACACTTTTAACAAAAGCCTATGGAGAATTGTTCTAATCAGAGTTTGTGGAGCTTGTCATAATGGGCAGTTCTGGTATCATATCAAACTACATATTTGGTCATCCTGCGTGGGTACCTGCATGAGGTGTGAGGACGCCTGTACACGGTACCCTGACAATACTACATGACTACACTACTATACAGCTATCTTTGGAAAGAATCTGTGAAGACATGTATTGAAATAGAATCTTTTTTTCATTGGATTTCCATTGGTAATTGCCTGCCTTGCCTTGTGTTAGTGCTGGTCGTTGCACTGGTAGCATGGGAATGCAATCAGCTCCTACTTACTGTTTTCTGACTAAGCAAGCTCAGCAGATACAAAGCCTGGTCTTCTGTTTCCTCATCCAGTTGCTCAAATAACTGGGTAAGTATCCTTTGTATTACAAGGTAAGTGTGATTGCCTTCCAGAGCCAGACACTGAGCTGCAGCCCAGCTGTCTGCATCATTGCCTGAAAAAAAATAATAATTTCAAAGTACAGCTAAACCTACCCCTTACCCTGTTAACTTCTAGAACACACACAGTTTCTTATATAGATATTTCAGATTACAGATAATTTAATTATATTAGATGTGCAGTGGGGAAGTGGGAGTCCCACGTGTAAAGATCTAGTGATTGCTATGGGGATTAGCAGTAAATGGGACTCAGTACATTTTGATTACATAAAAACCTGTGTAGGCAACAAAAGTATTTGAGAAATAATTCACAGAATGAATGTCAAAGGCTAAGTCCACCTTTGTGACCATGATTCATGTTACACCCATATTTAGGGGAATATGAAAAATG